GACCACACCGCTGGACCCAGGCCTGCCGGGAAGGGCTGGTTGTAGAGTATTGCTGCGATGTCCTGTGGACCCACGTCCATGGCCTTGGCCTTCTTTACGCTCCCTGCCGGCCAGGAGGGACTGACCCGGAGGCTGTGTGAGCTGAGCAGGGGTGTGTTTCATCGGGCCAAGGGTGTCTGCTTGGAGCCCTGTGCTAACTCAGAGGACGCTGGGGGTCGGGGGTGGGTGGGGGTGGTGATCCGTGTAGAAGCCTGTCGAGGATGGTGGCCGCCTGCCTGCCCTGCCCAGTGTGAGCAGTGTCCACCCTGCTGCGAGGTCAGGAAGTTGTGTCGGTGCTAACCCAGAACCCGGCACTGCCCCGAACGAGACCACGCACCACCGCCCCGCCCCGCCCTGGGAGGAAGATGCCAGTCAGAAGGGCCCCTGCCCAGGAAAGCTGGCGGTAAGTGAGGTGGCTTCTCTGGGTTGCATCTCCACGCAAAGCCTTGCTTCTGGAACCTTCCCCACAAGCGCAGGCCTCTTGAGTCCCCTGAGGAAGAGCTGAGATGGGGCTAAACTTAGCTGCCAGACTGGGGGAGGAGCCGGGCAGACTTAAAGGGGCAATGCCTGCTCCCCTCCTCAACAGGCAGTGTGTCCTGCCCTGGGGCCCAAGGCAGTGGCCACAGGCAGGCGCAGACATGCCTCCACCCCCCACGTTTCCCCATTTCCCCTCTCGGTCCCGCCCGTCCCTCCTGGCCTCTCCACTTCTGCGACTGGGCTGGTTCCGTGCCTCTTCACCGGGCCACTCATGGGGAAACTGAGGGAAGCCACCGGATACGTTTCAGGCAGTTTCCCCTAGGGCTGACTGTCAATGTCCAAAGAGCACCCACCGCTCCCTCCATCCCCTGCCCCGGAGCACTCAGTTGGATTTGCTCTGTGGGTGCTGTTGCTGCTACGCTCTGCTGTCACAGCTGTCCGGGGGTCCAGGAGGTTCTCTGTGCAGGGACCTCCTCCTGGCCCTTCCCCCCCTCCTGGGTCTGAGCTGGCTCCTGTCACACCCAGCAGGACAGCCCACAGTGACCCCTGTGAACCATCTCCACCACGGAGCCCTTCACCCAGACCGCCAGGCAAGGCCGTGTGCTGGGCACAGCTCTCGCTGCAGGAGCTTCGGGGAGTCATTCGCTGCCTGCACGCCCTTACCAGCCGCAGCTGACCCCGGTGAGGCGCTCGCTGTGACCAGCTGCCTCAGCTACTGGCGAGATCTGACCTCGTGCCCAACAGTGAAACAACCTCGTGGGGGGAGGTGTGGCGTGTCAGTCAAATTGCCCGTTCTCTAACTGGTGTTTGTGGAACTAGGGTTTCATTCTGAGCAGCTGTTGCCCTGCTTCCCGTGAGTCTGTCCAGTCGGGTTTTGACCCTGAGGGGCAGTAGGAGAGGAGGGGACCCTCATCTGGCAGCCACCACGGGCTGTGAGGACAGCAGCGCAGGACTGGTGCATGTCCTCGCCTACACACGGTGGCTGCAGATGGAGCCCATGCGCCCGACAGCACCTGGCCCCGCAGGGCTTCACGCCTTTAAGTCTGATGGTGTGAGATGCGAGGGGCCTCCAGGTCTATGGAGACGTGGAATTAAAAGATGATGGGGTTTTACCTGGGGCCATGCTATGCATGTGAGGGGCTCTTCAGCGAGGGGAGAGAACACTGCCCCTGCCCTCCTCCCCACCAAGCACCCTCCTCCCCCCACTGCCTCACAGGGGAAGTTGGAGCCCACAGCCCCCCCTCCCCGGTAGGCCATCCTCTCAGGTGCAGAAACCCCAATGGTTTTCTCTCCAGGGCTCACCTCACAGTTGTCCTCTGGAGGCTTGACAGCCATGCTTATATGACCTGTTAGCAGCAAGGTCAGCAGTTCAAAGCCACCTGCTGCTCCAGGGGAGGAAGACAAGGCTGTCTCCTCCATAGAGTGAGGTCTCAGAATCGCTCGGGCAGTTGTACCCTGTGGTCGGCACCCACTCCATGGCAGAGGGGGTCTTTCTGCAGCACCAGAACTTCCTGCTCTCCCCTCATGCCCTCACCTGCCCCAGGTGGCTCATTTTACAGACAGTGGTACCGTTGACCTGCTTACTTCCTACCGCCCTGGACCCGGCTCAGGATGAGACTCTAGAAAGTGCCCACATAGAGGCCCCCAGGCTGCCCACAGAGCTGCTGGGGGACCTGAGGCGAGCCATCCAGCAGGGTCCCGTTCAGAGTGCTGACCATGGCTTAAAACAGTGCTCCCCTCCTCTCTCCCTCCCACTCCCGGCCCCTGCCCTCAGACCAGACTTCAGTGCAGTTGCCCAAAGTCCTAACAGGGACAGAGTGCGGCCACGTGGTCAGCACTGTAAGGTGCTGGGTTCTAATCCAAGCAAGTTTGCGATTCGGATGACTCTGTTCTCCTCTTTGTCCGTGATTTTATTTATTTTTATATTTTAATACTTCTATTGGCATGTGGTTCACATATAATTCCATAGTTCCGCTATGTTAAGACTGATCACCACAGTCAATTTCAGAACCTTTTCTTCTTTCTTCCTCATCGCTGTTAACACCTCCTTTCCCCCAGCCTCTCCTGTCACATCCCCAGGAACCACCGATCCAGTTACGGACTTGACACAAAAACACATTTAAACAAAGCCAAGAGCTCAGTACGTGGGGGCGGGGGGTGCCCGTGCAGGTCCGGTTCTTGGGGTTTGAGGTTGGTGCTCGCCTCCTGGTTGTGTTCCCACTTGGTAGTGTGTTTCAGTCACAGTCCGGGAGGGGAGAGCCTTCCGGAGGGACAGCCTCGCTGGCTCCCACAGCTGCCCCAGGAGAGGAGCTCGGAGCTGGGGGCGTGCTAGCTGGTGACCGAGCCACGAGCCGCAGGGCTCCTCACCTGCCCGGCCCTCCTGCCGGCCCACCACCCTGACTGGACGCATGCCAGCGTCAGGGGTGGACAGGCGCCTCTGGGGAGGCCAGGTCAGGAATCGGACGGCTCGCTCCCTTGCTGAGCACTGGGCCCCACTGAGGGGGCGGTGGGACAAAGTGATGGTTGATGTAAAGGAGACGCGAGCCTTGAGACAGTGCCAGACGAGACCCTCTTCAAGGCCAAGGGCTGGTGATGGGTTCTTAGCCAGGGCCTAGGTGAGGTGTCCTCAGAGCAGAACCAGGCTCAGTGCCCGCAGATGATCCCTTGAGGGCAAAGACCAGAAAGGTCAACTTGACAGTGCTCTCTGCCGGAGACCCTTTCATGGTTAGGTGCCATCCTGAGGGTGCCAACAGATAGACTGCCTGCCCGGCATGGTCCCCACCAGCACTGTTGCTCTAGGTGAGGCCACGGCGGGGCCACTGTGCCCGCCCGGCTCCTCCTGGAGGAGTGCCTTGAGTTGGGAGAGAGAGAGAGAGAGAGAAGGGGGGTGCAGGGGGTGTGCAGGCAAGTTCCAGGCCCTGGGGTCCATGGAGCTTCTCCAGACTCAGCAGGCGGTGTGGCTGGCTGCTGGCTCAAGTCCAAGAACCAGAGTTTGACGAGCCAGAAGCAGCATGGAGAAACCGCAAAAAGCAACAAGCTTTTCTCAGGAAACTTCCTTTCAACTAACTGTATCAGAGCCAGGACCCAAGCAAGAGCCCTCGCCCTCACCTCCGTACACCGGGTGGGCTGCCCACAGCATCACAGCGGCTGCTACCTGTGTCAGCAGCACCACCGCTGGGGTCCAGCCGGCTCACACAGGAGCTTCCTCTTCGTCCCAGACAGGCACAGGGCGCCCTCTCCCGGGTGCGGGACGATGCTGGCCCCAGACAGTCTGACCTGCGGCAGAGCGGAGGGAAAGGCGTGAGCCCCCGTGAGGATGGCCAGTGCAGGCCATGCCGTTGGGGAAATGGCGTCCACAGAAGTGCTCACGGCAGGGCAGCCACAGACCCTCCATTTGTGAAAACGCCGCGTCTGTGACCCAACGGAACCCAGCGCCCACTCTGGGAAGACGCTGTCTTGCTTGCTGGACACCCTGAGTCCAGCCCCTCTGCCACATGACAGCTAAGCAAAGCTCTCTGGGTAAAGTGCCCGCCCAGGTCTCAGCATCTTCCCAGGAGAGGGTTCACTCCCTGCGGCCAGAACACTGACCGGGCCTTCCTGTGCCAGGTGACTGAGAGCCACTGGTGGGGACAAACAGGAGTGGCCTGTGATGGCCTTGGGAGAGGGCAACAGGCTAGGGGGGAGGAGTGGAGTGCAGCGAGCAATGCTGCTTGCCAGAGAAGGGCCTGGTGGCACTTGAGGTTCAGCGCCGGGCAGCTGACCTCCAGGCCAGCAGTTCAAACCCACCGGCCACTCTGACTGGGAAAGATGAGGCACCTGTAAAGACGGACAGCCTCAGGGACCCTCTGTTGGGTCACAGTGAGTCAGGACCCACAGTGGTCTTGGGTTTGCTTTGACTTTGGCCACACTCTGCTCCAGACCCTTCCGCCCGGGGGCTGGGGCCGGAGCAGAGGAGCCCTCCCTCTGTAAGCAGGGACAGCCTGGCCCCGAGGTGGCCGGGACCCAGTGCCCCGTCGAGGCTACACTCGTGGTTTTGGTGTTCTCCTCTTCACAGACACGTGCACCCCCAGCCCGCGTGCCCTGTCTCCTTGGTTGTCTTTGGCTGCTCCGTCCTTGGCTCTTTGCGGCTGTGTCCGTGCGTCTGGAAGCCTGGCACACAGCAGGCGGCCAGCGTGCTGGGGAAAGCTGAGTGGGTGCACACGGGGAACCCCTCATCCAAACACATTGTAAACGTACACCAGGAGGGAGAGGCGGGTGGTGTTGACACTGTCCGACGTGGAAGGTTGTAGACCTGTGAACGGGACGGCGGGTCTAGTCCCTCGTTCGTGAGCATCGCCCCTAAGGTCGACCCTCTTCCTTCCCGCGCTTGGCAGGGCGTGTGGCCCATGGGCGAGTTTCCGTTTCCCTTCTGGGTCCTCGCAGGCAACGCCGAGGCTCCTGGGTGAGGACTGGGCCCTGACCCTGTTTCCTCTCCTCTGTGACAGGGCGAGTCCGTGAAGTACTTCCTGGACAACTTGGACCGCATCGGCCAGCTGGTGAGTGGGGACACCACGTCTCGGGCAGGGCCTCCGCGTCATGTCACCAGCTTCCTGCAGCACCCGGGTTGCTGTGTGCCTGACACTGGAGTCTCCAGGGTGCTTTGTGCCACGACCTCTGACCGCCTTGTGTGGTGTGGCAGAGCCTCCATTAAACTCCTCAGCCTCGCAGCAGGCCTGTGGGAAAGCGCCCCTGTAGGCGGGGAAAGCCTGGGGGTTCCCGCAAGGAGATGGTGGGACTCTGGTGGGACCTGCATGCCACCACCCCGCGCGCCTGCTTAGTCCTGCGTTGCCCAGTGTGAGCAACCCCCAGGGTGCCGGGATGATGGGTGGGTGCTAAGGAAGCAAGCCCTGCACTTGCCCTTACCCCTGGACAACCGGCTGTAGGCCGGGCGGTGCTCGTCGTGGCTAAGGGGCCGCCGAGCTGTTCTTTCCCTGCACAGGTGCCGGGTTTGCCACGTCAGTCGCTAGAGTTAGCTCGCCCCCCAGGTCAAGGCGGAGCTGGGCGGGGGGCTGGTCCTCTGTGGTGTTCAACCTGTCTCGAGTGATAACGCACCCCGCACACACACCCTCCTTTTTCTCGCCCGGGTCAGAGCTACCTTCCCAGCAAACAGGACATCCTGCTGGCCCGCAAAGCCACCAAGGGCATCGTGGAGCACGACTTCGTCCTCAAGAAGGTGCCCTTCAAGATGGTGGACGTGGGCGGGCAGCGCTCCCAACGGCAGAAGTGGTTCCAGTGCTTCGACGGCATCACGTCCATCCTGTTCATGGCGTCGTCCAGCGAGTTCGACCAGGTGCTGGTGGAGGACCGGCGCACCAACCGGCTGGCCGAGTCCATGAACATCTTCGAGACCATCGTCAACAACAAGCTCTTCGCCAACGTCTCCATCATCCTCTTCCTCAACAAGACGGACCTGCTGGTGGAGAAGGTGCGGCGAGTCAGCATCCAGAAGCACTTCCCTGACTTCCGGGGCGACCCCCACCGGCTGGACGACGTGCAGCGCTTCCTGGTGCAGAGCTTCGACCGCAAGCGGCGCAACCGCAGCAAGCCGCTCTTCCACCACTTCACCACGGCCATCGACACGGAGAACATCCGCTTCGTCTTCCACGCCGTGAAGGACACGGTGCTGCAGGAGAACCTCAGGGACATCATGCTGCAGTGAGCGCCC